TTTTCTCATAGAACGCCCAGAACGGAGTTCCGGCACCTTTTTTGGATGGAACCTTGTAGGATAGGCAAGGCGGGTTGAATGACGTGTGTGAGTTCCGGCACCATTTTTTTTTTTCAGAAAAAAGCACTGCATATATATATATATATATACTGCTCAAAAAAATAAAGCGAACATTTTACCATGGAACTGAAGGGGTTTGTGTTCCCTTTATTTTTATTCTAGGTACTAAGCAGGGTATTAACCAAATGACCGGCAGAAAATCTTCCAAGCTGTCATAAAATCCAGCTGAATCCCAAAGGAGTTTTATTCAAAAGGCAACTAGACATTGTTTCTTCTTGAAGACAGACATTTCACTTCTCATCCAAGAAGCTTCTTAGTTCTGATGAAGCTTCTTGGATGAGAAGCAAAACATCTGTCTTCAATGAGAAACAAAGTCTAGTTGCCTTTTGAATAAAACACCTTTAGGATAAGCATGACCTGGATGATTGAGAATCTCCATAGACATCCAGCTGGATCCCATAACTAAAACAAAGCAAGGCAAAGCGAATAAATAGCAGGCAGCATCTACTCTGTATTTTATACTTTTACAGCAGACGTTCAAGAGCGGAAAATTCAAGAGAAAGTACATTTGAAATAATACTTCTTTGCCAGTATTTTTGTTTTCTTCATACATAGCCAACTTTAAAGAAAACCCTGCAGGGCTATTTATTTATTCATTGAAGCCTTATTTTGAATTGGTTTTTCATTGCTCACATGTCCATTTTGTTCCTCTGAAATTGGGTCTGATTTTTGTATTGGGAATAAGTGTTTTTAACTTCTGGTTTTAGCCATTATTGGTTTCATTAATATTTTATTATTCTTTTTTGTAAAAAAAAAAGATTTTATGTGTGAATCCTGCTTTGGGATAGTCTTTGCCCTAAATGGAACTTAAAAGGATTAGAAGGAAAAAATAATACTTCACACACAACAATTTACATAGTAATTATATCATTTTGGGCAGCACTCTTATTGAAGGTAGCGGGCAATATATGTGGGATGTTTTCTGAGTCCTAATTGTGTGAAGTCTGTGGGTGGTTTCAGGCATCAAACCCCCCAGCTTTTCATATTTTACTCAAATGGTTCATTGGCGAGACCCCCACCTTTTGCACATTGGGAGACAGATTAAATTTCCGTTGTTTGGAATTCAGGCAGTTGTTCTTCTCAATGCATTGAAAAGAAATAGGGTGGCATGGTGCATGCTGGCCATAGTCGTTGCATCTTCACGTGTGCTTGGATCTACCCCTTTGGGCCAAATCTCATGCAAATGTGAATAGGAAGTACAGTAGGTCAGACATACCATGCAATAGTGGGCCATAATTAGCAGACATGAATAGAAGTCCACTTTAGATTGAAGAGGCAACTGCACATTTGTCAGGCTCAAAGAACCAAGAACAATATGTGAAGTTACTTCTGAGTAGTTCTTTATTGTTGGTTGCCTCCAAATAGAATCATGCTGTCAGACGCAAAAGGCCAGGTCCGCATGTGAATGTCCAATTTATTATTTTTTCTTGATAAAAAAACCTACGTGCAGGAATCTTTTCAACTCTTGATCAGCACCTGTTTAGAGTTAGTTAAGGATCAACATAATTCAAGGGGGTTGGACCACATGTTTAGGGATTATAAATTTATCCTTGTTTTAATTCCACTCCCAAGTTCTTCCACTCCTTTTCCTGCACTTGCCAGTCTAAAGCAACTATCTGCATAACTATTAAGTATACTCTGTGAATTGCTAGGGAGGGTCCACCTTCACCTTATTCCTGCCTTCCAGACATTCTAAGCTCTGCTGTCCTTTTTCCTTCTGGGAAAGAGTCCTTCCCTCCTATCACTCTAAGTTACATTCTACCACAGTGGTGGCGAACCTGCGGCACGGGTGCCAGAGGCGGCACTCAGAGCCCTCTCTGTGGGCACACGCACCATTGTCCCAGTCCTAGGCCTTCAGCTGGGTTTTATAAAACCTTTTCACTTTAAACCTCCACCGCCATGTACAAAAAAAAAAGGTTCAATCAATCAGTCAATTTCAACTTCTTGCGGGGAAAAAAAAGATCTTGCAAAGTTGGAATTGATTGATTGAACTTTTTAGTCCCACCCAGTCTGCCGTTACCACTGCAGCCACGCCCAGCCAATGAGCCACACCTAACCAATGGGCCACGCCCATCTGGCACCCGACGATGCATAAGTGGGTTTTGGGTTGCAGTTTGGGCACTCAGTCTCTAAAAGGTTCGCCATCACTGTTCTACCACATCATTTAAAGTTTTCACTTCAAGAACAAGCTGTAGCACCAGACACTGTTTCATCTGGCCCATTGTTCTTGAGTCTCACAACTTTTTTTATGAGAAATGGATGTAAAATGGGAAGAGATGAGATCCATAATTTAGGTATGTGTGTCTATCTGTCTGTCTTTATATCCAGAAATAGGAATGGACTGTGTTGTTGTGGTTGCTTTTTCCCACCTTCTATTTTTTGTCCTATATATGATGAAATTTATGAATTTCAGTCATGTTCCTATTAGTAGTGCCTCTTTAATATGGTCTTTAACCAGCATTATAGATAGAAAAAAGAAAAGCAGATTGCTGCAGAAAATCCATTACCAAAAAAATTGTCATAAAGCAATAAAGAGCACATCTAAGCCAAAACTTTGCACAAGCCAAAGCTTTGTATGGCTTAGAGTAAAGTTTTTTTTGCAACTTGAAATGTAAGTGAGGTGTTAACATCCCTTCAAAAATAACAAAATTGAGCTTTATTACCCTCAAATCTGAAAGTAATTGGAGAAAGCAAAGAGCTGCCAAAGAGATTGGTAACTATGTTTTTAACAGTCATCGTCTTATTAAAAGATAACTTAAAATTTCACTGAGGTGTACTGGACAGATCTAATAAGTTCTCAGGGTTAGGGTTTAATGGAGGACTTGCAGAGTCTATTATTTGACAATATAATTCAGGAACACTGGTTTTACCATACTGACAATGATTGTTCCTAATTTGTTCCTTTAGCATTGACTTGGCTTAAGGTTAATTAGCCCATACTCAGGATAAAAGCTAAGGCTACATAATTCCTCCATACAAATTTGATGCAAAAGAGATTGATGACTATGTTTTAACAGCTACTTTCTTAGCTTAACTGAGATGTACTGGACAAATCTAACAAGTTGTCTCTATGATTATACAGAAAATTATGAAGGGGCTGTTAAAGAAAGATAAAAGGCAACTCAGGCCTGGGAAAAGGAAGGCATGAAAAAGAACCTCAAAAATAACCTCACTACATCCCTCAAATGCATTAAAAATAAATCCCTGAAAAGCATATCTAAACTTTACCCTAACTTGGTTTGAGCATATCTGTCTAACCATCCTTGAAAGACACTTCCATATAGTGCAGCTTTCCCCTACAACAAAGCCCACAACAAAGGTTAATTGCCCAGGTCTGATGTGTTTGTTTGTTTAAATCACTCAATACATGCCTTGCTCTTTTCATGATATGTGGTTGCTTTGGCTTTGACCATGTGATAATGCAGCAGTTCCTATTGGCTGTTTTCAGGTTCTGGAGGCGTATCCTCTCCTCTCCGGTTGCTGCCAACTTTGCTTCATGGTTATTTCAGTTCTTGCTGCTTTCTGGCCTGACACCAGGAGAAGAGCAGCAGCACCAACATTGCTAGAAAAAGCCATAAACCAGGATATTTCTAAAGGCTTAGATAAATTCTGATCTACTCCTTTATCTACTAAAACCAAGGCTGCTAGAGAAACAACCTCTCTGTATCACTACTACTAGAAAGTAGTAGGCCAGGAGCTTTGTAAGTGCTAGAGCAGATTATGGAAAGTTTGCTCTAGCAATAACAGCACCATAGTTGCTACTGAAAGTAATTTGGAACTAGTTTAGCTCCTTCAGTAATATTAGCACCAACGTTGTAAACCCAACCTCTCTAAAGTAAACTAGAAAGGTACTGGTAGAAGGCAATTGTCAAGATTTCCATAGTCTTGGCTACATTATAGGTAGCGATTAGATCAGTTATGAATGTTAAAGTATTGGACACTCCCCTCATTTTCTACCCCGCATTTTAAGCCAGAGTAGGGACTGGTTATGTAGACAGAGCACACTTATATAATATACTTTTTATTGCCTCATGAAACTGGTTATGGATAGGTTCCCTTTGTGTTTCAAATTCTTACCAGAAAATAATTGAAAACAAAATTATCTCAACTTATATTTCAGGAATATTTATTATTAGGTTTAAATTGGCTAGAAAAATCCAGTTTTAAGCTTGAGCAGTATAACTAAATGCAGACGGTAGAATCTGTGACCATGCTCATATAGCTGAATTGAGCTCTTTTTGTAAGCTTTTTACCCAGTGCTTAGGCTAACTACCCAGTGTTTTGATATCTTCCTACCCTTTGCTCATCCTGTTTCTATGCTTTCGTTGTGAAACTATAAAGAAGGCTAAAGAATGAGGCAGCATTCTATTCATAATATGATTCTTTTTAAAAAAAAAATATTGTCCTTTTACTCATAGACCATTTGTGTTTGTGCAGAGCAAGTAAATATGGCTAGATACTTGTATGATCAACTGAAATTGAGAGTTGAATTGAAAAAAGTAATATTAAAAAGAAAAGAAAAGTCTTGTTAAAAGATTGTGTGCTACTTTTCACCTGGTATCCATTCCTCTTATCTGAAAATGGAATAAAATATGCATTATTATTGCTTGAAGAAAAGAGGCTCCACTCTCAAAACTTTGCCCTGTATTTTAGTATCTGTTTGGGCTCCCTTCTGTATTATATCTGTTCCCTGCAAACTGTTTTTTCTGAAATTATTTGTTTTAAGCCAAGAACAGTTGAGATGATTTTTTTTCCCCATTTCTATGCCAAATACAGAAGTTTGGAGAAGTGAAAAGCAAAAAAAAAAAAGTTATTTGTTTCCACCATCGGTATTCTGCTTAAAATAATGTTGCCTGTTTTATTGGTGTCTTCCCAATTAGATGTTTACCAAACTACTGTGAACATGGAGGAAAATGTTCCCAATCTTGGAAGACATTCTTCTGTGATTGTAATGAAACTGGTTACACTGGAACAACCTGCCATAACTGTAAGTAGATTGCATTGTTAGGTGCATATGAACATTTGGGAATATTTACAAATATGAGAAAAACAGATTTCTTGCACCCTTGTTAAAATTATTTGTAAATGGGTATATGGATGGAACAAATTTCAGTTTAATTAAAAAAAAACTACATAGGCTGTGAAACAGGCAGACTTCTTCTGATGACAAGGAAAGAAATGTATAAACTGACTTTTCTCACAGTGGAAAGAAGTAAACTCTGAAAATGTTCAGCAGTTTGGATTCATCTGACAATCATCTGGTGACAAAGTAAATCCATTTCTACACATAGGTAATGCTCCTTTGGTAGTCTTGCCACTCGATGCATCTGGATGATGCTGATTATATGAACTCATTTTAATTGTGCTTTCAACTGAGATGCTTTGGTTGTCTTTGTGAATGAGCTAGTCCAGAAACTAAATAGGGGAAATGTGGCTTGTTGATTCTCCTGTAATATTCTAAAACACTGATATAGTATCCTCTTGAATTGGCTGGAATGATTCTGATTGTATGCCTTTCTTTTAATCTGTGTCCAGAAATTGATGCTGTGGCCTCCTGTTCAACATCTAGGCCATGTCTTAGGATTCCATCATTTATGTTTAATATTTATATGAAGGCAAAGGCAAAGGTCATTCAGAGTTTTGGAGTAGACTGCTATTGGTATGTTGATACAGTGACAGAAAACTCTACTCTTCCACATTATCTTATTTCAGAAATGGGTTGACATGAAATCCAAATATGAATAGAAATCATGTTTTGAGGCCAGTTTTCAATGAAACTACACTCAGTCCAAAAGAACAGGTCTATAGTCTGGGAACTATCTTTGATCTTCAGCTGTCACTGGGTTTTCAACTTATGATTGTGGAAAGGAGCAGTTTCACATAACTACACTTGTGTATTCGGCACTGCTCTTTCTGAACTAGTCAGATTGGCAACAGTTGTCTGTACCTTGGTTTCATCCCATCTTGGCTACAGCAGTAAATTTTATATAGGCCTATATATATGAATATATACCGGTATGGAACATACATCTGATGCCAAACGTGTTGACTAGTGCAAGACATTGAGAGCACATGATTCCCTGTCTGAAGTATGTGCAGTACTGTTGTTCCTATTAGCTTACTGTATGCAATTAAAGGTATTGGTATTAATGTTAAAAATCCTAAATATCATAGTAATTGAATACTGAGGGACCATGAATAAGAGCTTGCCCAGTTTACAGAGAAGTGTTAGAGGAGAAGCTCTTTCAGAAAACTGTTGGTATGTGCATAGGAGAGGACCACCACCTGAGTTGTCTTTTTTGATTGGGGAAGACCTACTTTTTCTTAAAATAGTCTAAATCTACAAAAGTTAAAGCAATGCAGTAGTGACACCACTTGAATGTCAGGCACAAGGAACCAGAACACTTTGTGAATAGGCCAAAGTAGTTGTCTGATTGTTCATCACCTATATTACTAGAATCTCATCAGATTGCCGGCATTCCCTTGGGAACAAGCAGAAAAGGCTTTCCTAGTCTGGACTATGATGTTTCCTCCCTGGAGTGATTTCATACTGGGACACCAATTAACTCCCCCTTCCCATTCAGACAGTGATTCTGCAGGATGGCAAGGCCAGAATCTTGAGCACATTTTCCATTGTGTGTTAGGTATGGAAGCACACATTTCATAACTATGTTAAATATAGGAATTGATCTTGCTCATTTTTGATAATTGAACCATTCAGACTATACAGAGAAAGGGACTCGGGACTTCTTTTTTTTATTTATTCTTTATCTCCAAAGACTCCTTGTAACCTATACATTGCCCAACCTTGATCTCCATAATGTTAGTTTGTTTGTTTTCCTCTACCATCAATAGATGCTTCTTCTTCTACTATTTTAGTGTTGTAAAGAAGTATCCTAGCCCTTACATTTTAAATGTTTCCAGCATATACAAATATCTAGCCAAGAGATATTTAATAAAAAAAAATTATTATAATTTTGATATCTGACTCAATACATGCTAAATGGTGTGTATACAAGAAATATTTCTTAACGAGCTTTCTGTTGTGCCAGAGGGACATTCCTTTTCAAAAAGAAAAAAAGATAGTAAGCAAGAAATGTCAGGCAATTTCCAGTATAATATATGCAGAACATTAAAGTTGTTCCATAAATGTAAACTTCATCCCACAGGAAATGTCAAAATTTGAGCATCAATATTGGCCTTATTTTTAAATGAAATAATTAAATGGAGGAATATTCAGATAGACTGAACTTTCTGCTTTGCTAAATGTCCTTTAAAACATTAAAATACTTTGGATTTTTTAAAAAGAAATACTGAAGGTTGCCATATATTTCTACCCTATCACTAAATTTCTAAACTTGAATATGGATAAAAAAATTGTTATTATTTCCATGCAACAGAAATATAAATTTGTTGAAAGAGAATTACATCAATTACATCCCTAAACATACTGATTGTGAAAATTAAACTATCTCTAAAAGAGCAGCTTATAACGTGTTTTATTTAATAATGTGTTACTTAGTAGCTATTGGCTGTTTAGCAATGTAACAGTGGAAACAAGTATTTTTCCTGGCTATTATTTCATGAATACATTCTAATGAGGCATTAGATAACTATGAAAAGAAGACCCTGGAAGAACAGACAAACAACCATCTGCTTGAATTATCTTTTTAGACGTTATATGATGCCTGTAAATTATTTAATTTTAACAATTAATATTAAAATTTAATAGTTATAAAATTAAATTATCTTAGGTTGTTGCAACACATATACCTATTAACCACCTGCAATACGATGATTTGAAAAAGGGATGAAAAAATGAAGTGCAGACTTCAGTTGTGATGTTCACATTACCTGGGATCATTTAGTTTTTGCCTGATTTGTAGAGTCAAAAGGACAGGTTTTTGCTCTTTGAGTTCTGCCACCTGTGGATAGGTTTCATGCGTCATTTGGAGTGATCACTGTCTCTTTGAAAGATAGAGGGGTACCATTTATCTTGAAAGAAGCGATGATGCAATTCTGTTGAAAAAGCCATCATTCGATATAGCTGATTTAGGCAACATCCTAGATGAAATGAATTACCTAAGTCCTTTCTAGTCAGGATTCAGACCTGGTCATGAAATCAAATTTGCATTAGTTGCTCAATCTGAATGGAGAGGGTGAGACATTCCTAGTCTTGTTAATCCCTCATCTGTATTCAAAAGGTATCCTTTTGAACTCTTCAATTCTAGTGTTCTAGGTGGGGTTGTATTTCACGTGAATGAGCAGGTCCATGATTATGGAGTTGTTCTGAAGTCACATCTTATGTTTGAGAAGCAAGTGAAACCATGGCAACTGGAATATTAACAGTAGTGCAGTTTTTGCTGATGCATCGATTATTATCTTTTCTGAATCAGGATATACTGGCAATAGTAGCTCATTTTTTTTCACTACTGTACATTTAGAGTAATGTAACTCATACTCTATTTGGGACTGTCTTTGAAGTTAACCTAGAAACTACATTTGGTCCAAAATATAACCACAGCATTGTTAAGAGGTGTGAACCCTTTTAGCAGTCTAATGCTAGAATTATGGTCACCACAGTGTTTGCCAATAAATTTGTAAGACTCATTCAAAATATTGGTTCTGACCTAAAAAAAAACAAAACCCAACCCTGTGGAACCTTCTTCTCAAACAGATTTTAGCTACCTTAACCTTATGATAAGTAAAAACTGTAGAGAATCCGAAGACAGAACTTTCCTATAACTGCCCCAATGATTTGTGACACCCTATTTCCTAACATAAAGCATCTCCCGCTGTATTTATCTTTCAGAAGTCTGTGAAAATTATTCTATTTAGGTTTGCGCTGTGTGAGTAACAAAGCAGTTGAGCAGCCATTTTTGTTTTGTTTTTTAGTTATAGTTGGCTTATAGGGTGGATTAATTTTATGGATTTTGTTGTTCAACTGTTGTAATCCAACTTGAATCTATGAAATAGTAAGTAGACAAGTGTAATAAATAAATAAGCACCCAGGCTTTTAATAGGATTTCTGCTATCCATAATTGCATGATAGAACATGTGTCTTCTAAGAATACATGGATACTTCCAGATGGGGGCTTAGATCAGTTTGTACAGTGAATTAAGCCACTCACATCCAGTTGATGCTATCACTGGAGACATATAGGTAATAGTTTCCTCCAATAAAAAAAAAGAAATTGGAAGATATACAATATATAAATTTGTCGCTTGTAGTTATTGATAGTCACACTTCCCCAAACAAAACCAGTGTGCAACTGGAAGAACAAGTGGCTGCTGTGATCTGGAGGGCTTTTGCCCAAATCTATTTTTGATGCCAATTGCACCTCATCCATGACCAGCAAATATTGCTGCCAGTCACTCAGGTCTTAGCAGAGGAAGCCATGGAAATGATGTTGGAGAAGCATGCAAAAGCTGTTAGGAAATCAATAGGTGCAGAAGAAGCCTGCATTAAATCTTTGAGGCAGGAAAGTATTAGGAAAAGATTCGGACCGATTTCTCCCAATTAACTGGATTAGAAGATGAAGAAGAGAAAACAGGAAATGTTGGAAGAGCTTTTTTTCTGTAGTTTATCTCAATTAAGTGTAGATCTGTTCTCCCTCTGCAGTGAATTTCCTGATTTGGTCTGATTTGGTCTGCCTTGCAGTTTCATGAACTGCATTGGTTACCAGTTGGGTTCTAGGTGCAATTTAAGCTGTTGGTTGCTATCTATGAATTTCTACATAGCCTGGTAATTTATAACACAATTTGCCTCCAATTATTTCTGCCCATCCTATTAGATTACATGGACATGTTTCAGGTCCAATTGATTAAATCTCACGGGACTCCAGAAATGTGACTTATTTGCTGCTACCTCTATGCTCTAGAACAGGGATGTCAAACTTGCCACGTCACGTAATGTGTCGCGATGTATCACAACTTTTTTCCCGTTGCCAGAACAGGGGTGGGTGTGGTTTCAGCATGACACATCTG